CCTCCTGTATTCCCCTTCTCTTCCTCTTCTCTCCCTCTTTTCTTCCTCCCCCTCCTTCCCCACCTCGTCCCCTCCCCCTCCCTCCCCCGTGCGCCCTTCACCCCCTCGTCCGGCGGGAAAGGAAATGGAACGGCGGCCCCGTCCCAAGGCCGCGCCCGATGCACAGTAGCATTGTTGGTGTTGTTGTAGTTATTGTTATAATTAAGTTTTACTATTATTGTTATTATTATTATTATTATTATTATTATTATTATTATTATTATTATTATTATTGTTATTATTATTATTATTACCATTACTATTCTATTATTATTATTATTATTATTATTATTATTATTATTATTATTATTATTATTACTATTACTACTATTATTATTACTATTATTTTGAATGTAAATTGATTTTTTTCAGTTGATCGTTTTGGTTCTCATTTCCGGAGGTCACGTGCAAGATGGACTCGAGTCTTTAGTCTTTTTTTTTTTGTTATTGCTACAATTATCAATGTTTGTTTTTATGTTGGGCATTAATGTCATTGTCGTAGTTTTCATATGAAGGGCGTTTTTTTTTTCTTTTGAGATTGTTATAGGTTTTAAGAATGATGTTGATAATGACAGTGATAATAATGACAGCAGCAACAGCAATATTGACAAGTAGGAGTTTTAGTTGTAATAGTAGAATAGCAGTTGTTGTTGGAGGAGAAGGAAGAGGAGGATATTATCAGTATAGTTATCATGATTGTTATCGTCATCATCGTCACCATAGCTATCATTATTCTGATTGCCGGTATTATTTTGTTTATTTATTGCCATGGCGCGATAATTATCACCGCCGTCATCATGCTTATCTCTCTCTCTCTTTCTCTCCCTCTCTCTCTCTCTTCTCTTTCTCTCTCTCTCTTCTCTTTCTCTCTCTCTCTTCTCTTTCTCTCTCTCTCTTCTCTTTCTCTCTCTCTCTTCTCTTTCTCTCTCTCTCTTCTCTTTCTCTCTCTCTCTTCTCTTTCTCTCTCTCTCTTCTCTTTCTCTCTCTCTCTTCTCTTTCTCTCTCTTCTCTTTCTCTCTCTCTCTTCTCTTTCTCTCTCTCTCTTCTCTTTCTCTCTCTCTCTTCTCTTTCTCTCTCTCTTCTCTTTCTCTCTCTCTTCTCTTTCTCTCTCTCTTCTCTTTCTCTCTCTCTCTTCTCTTTCTCTCTCTCTTCTCTTTCTCTCTCTCTCTTCTCTTTCTCTCTCTCTCTTCTCTTTCTCTCTCTCTCTCTCTTCTCTCTTTCTCTCTCTCTTCTCTTTCTCTCTCTCTTCTCGTTCTCTCTCTCTCTTTCTCTTTCTCTTTCTCTTTCTCTTTCTCTTTCTCTTTCTTCTTTATATTTTCTCTCTCTCTCTCTCTCTCTCTCTCTCTCTCTCTCTCTCTCTCTCTCTCTCTCTCTCTCTCTCTCTCTCTCTCTTTCTCAGGAAAATGCTCACAAAATACACCCTCTTCTAAATATTAGCTTTGTGTAGGTGGCTGGGGTCGAGGGGGCGTGTAGGAGAGGGAGAGAGAGAGAGAGAGAGAGAGAGAGAGAGAGAGAGAGAGAGAGAGAGAGTGAGTGAGTGAGTGAGAGAGAGAGAGAGAGAGGAAGAGAGGAAGAGAGAAAGAAAATAAAGAAGAAAGAGAGAGAGAGAGAGAGAGAGAGAGAGAGAGAGAGAGAGAGAGAGAGAGAGAGAGAGAGAGAGAGGGGGGGGGGGGGGAGGAAGAGAGGGGGGGGGTGTAGGTGGGGGAAAGAGGGGGAGGGGGTGAATATGTCCTTAATAAGAAAACGCGAAAGGGGCGCATACCGACGGTGACTCAAAGGGGGGTGGGGGTGGCGGCAGCTATTAATAGGCGAGTCTACGGCAATTTTGTGGCGACCTTTCGGGTTCTGAAGCCAGTGGATGTGCATGGTTTGGAGGGGGGGGAGGGGAGAATGGAAGGGGAAGGAAGAAGGGAAGAGGGGAGGAGGGAGAAGAGTAGGAGGAATAAGGAGGAAGGTTATGGGAGGGAAGGAGGACGGAGCGAGAGGGTGGAGGGTAGGGAAACAGACAGGATGGTAGGAAGGAAGGAAGGAAGGAAGGAAGGAGAATGAATGTGGAAACAGAAAAGCGTCCAGTTAGTCATTTCATGCATGGAAGGAAAGTGAAAAAAAAAACAGAAGGCAGTGGAGAAGAGAGAAAAATAGAATGCACGAGACAGACAGACGAACGTATATGGCAAAGATCCTAGCGAAAAAAAAAAAAAAAAAAAAAAAATCGGCCTTCTTCCTCGCCAAAAAGTGACCAGATCTAGATGAAATGAATCATTAGTGTGGCCCAGTTGTGATTTAATTTATTTTTCTCTCTCTCTTTCTTTGAAATGCAAAACAACAACAACAACCAGAAACCCGCGGTCGCTGAACCACAGTGTAAACAAAAGAACTTTAAAAAATGAGGATAATTATTGGGGGCCTCCCGTCGCCACGCAATTGTTATTGTTCTCCCTCGGCCTGCGAAAGGGGGAGGAGGAGGAGGAATGAAGGGGGGAATAAAGAAAGGGATGCAGGAAAGGAAGGCTTGGAATTTGCTTGTCTTTGCAAAGATAGGCAAATCCAAGCAAGAAAGGAAGAAGAAGAATAGGTAGGTTGAAAAAGAGAGAGAACAAGGAAATGGAAAGAGGGAGAGAGAGAGAGAGAGAGAGAGAGAGAGAGAGAGAGAGAGAGAGAGAGAGAGAGAGAGAGAGAGAGAGAGAGAGAGAGAGAGAGAGAGAGAGAGAGACCGAGAGAGAGACCGAGAGAGAGACCGAGAGAGAGACCGAGACCGAGAGAGACCGCGACCGACCGACCGACCGACTGACTGCGCAAACAGTAATATAAAGAAGAGAATATTCGGCCGAATATTTTTTGGCGAGACGATGGACAGATATCCATGTTTGTTTATATTTAGTTTATTGTTTTTAATGCCTTCTTTCCCTTGTCATCTTTGATCAACATCTTAATGTACACTCTCAAACGCACACTAAGTTTTCACTATTTTCCAAGCAAGCAAATTTAGTCCACAATCGCTCTTCCAGCTGTGAAAATAACTCCTCATTCATCACGTGACACTTGTTACCCTCTTCGCCACAGCCCCGCCTTGCGTGTCCGGCCTGAGTGTGCTTCCTGCCCCCGAAGTTGAAAGTGGGTAATGGGGAAGGGGGTGATGGGTAAGGGGTGAGGAGTAAGGGGTAAGGGGTGAAGGGTAAGTTGGCAACGTGTGAAGGGGCCTGTCTTCATGGGTTTAGAGGGCCGGCTTTGGTATATTTTTTTCGTAATTTAAAAACGTTTTTTTTTTTTTACATTTTCTTGTGATATTTTTTCTTTCATTCGAGATATTACCCTCCCGCCCCCCCCCCTGGTTCTCTCTCGATATCTTTATCATTTTCTTTTTGATTCTCTCTCTCTCTCTCTCTCTCTCTCTCTCTCTCTCTCTCTCTCTCTCTCTCTCTCTCTCTCTCTCTCTCTCTCTCTCTCTCTTTCTCTCTTTCTCTCTCTCTCTTTCTCTCTCTCTCTCTCTCTCTCTCTCTCTCTCTCTCTCTCTCTCTCTCTCTCTCTCTCTCTCTCTCTCTCTCTCTCTCTCTCTCATTTACTTTTTGATCTCACTTTCTAACACTCTACCATTCTCTCTCTTTCTTTCCTTCCTTTCTTCCTCCCTTCTATATGGTTATCCATTTATCTTTATCTCCCATTCACCCACTCGCTGACTCACAAATCCCCTCGTATGCTCACTCATTCACTCATTCACTCGCATTCACACACAATTGAGGCTAATTCCACCCCCCCCCCCAAAAAAAAAAAAAAAAAAAAAATTGACAAGAATTTCTGTTTATTTGTTTGAATGTGCTTGTTTGTTTGTTTGAGCGTGTTTGCTGACTTGGACTTCACATTTGATTAAACTTGTTTGTCCATCTGTTTATTGCTTTTTGCGTATCCGTATTTGTGTATATTTGTGTTTGTGCTCATGTTGTATTTGTTTGTTTTGTGTGTGTCCATGTGCGCATCTGTTTGTTTTACGTGTATATGTTTGTGTTATGTGTGTATTTGTTTGTGTTATGTGGGTATTTGTTTGTGTTATGTGGGTATTTGTTTGTGTTATGTGGGTATTTGTTTGTGATATGTGGGTATTTGTTTGTGATATGTGGGTATTTGTTTGTGTTATGTGGGTATTTGTTTGTGTTATGTGGGTATTTGTTTGTGTTATGTGGGTATTTGTTTGTGTTATGTGGGTATTTGTTTGTGATATGTGGGTATTTGTTTGTGTTATGTGGGTATTTGTTTTTGTTATGTGGGTATTTGTCTGTGTATCTGAGGTGTGTGTGTATTTTATACGAAGGCAGTTGCGCGACCCGTGAGGGAGCGCCTCCCCCCCCCCGCGTGCCCAGGGATACGTTGCAAGAGGCGGGGTCGGGCAGCGCTCGGCCGCCTCGGGTACATGGGCAGGTTCGGGGAGGGGGGGGGGGTGCTGGGAATAGTTTGGATGTGGGTGGCTTCAGTAAATAGATGGATGAATGTTTATATTTACATGTATATTTACATACATACGGACACATACATACGCACAAACACACAGAGATACACATAAGCCCACAACTAAACAAACTAACAAACATATTCATGCCCACTCACTCACACGCACGCACACACACACACACACACACACACACACACACACACACACACACACACACACACACACACACACACACACACACACACACACACACACACATGCAAGCACACACACGCATACACACACACACACACGCACACACACACACACACACACACACACACACACACACACACACACACACACACACACACACACACACACACACACACACACACACACACACACACACACACATGGCATGCATGCATGCATGCACACAAACAAGCACATATTCACACAAATGAAAAAATGGGGGGGGGGGGCATGCAGGTATGGGGTAAAGAGGCACACATTAATGCTTCTGTTAATGTTCCAGGTGGTATGTTGTGGTGAGCAAGCAGTGACCGAGTGATGCTGGGGGGAGGGGGTAGCTGCGGTGGGCCAGTTTCATGGTGGTGCAGCGAAGTGTGGAGGTGCTCCCCAAAAGTGGCCCCGGACATTGCATCATCAAGCGCAGAGATGGCCAACTGTGACCAGTGCAGCGTCAAGTTTTCACTTCTGAAGAGACGGGTGAGGATTTTTCTCCAGATCTTTCTTTTTCTTGCTTTTTTTTTTTTTCTTGCTTTTTTTCTTTCTATCTTCCTTTTTTCCTCCCTCCCTTCCTCCCCCATTAATAATTTTTCCTTTTTTTTTCTTTCTTTCTTTTCTTTTTTTTTCCTGTGATTTCCCATATAGATCCATGTAATCATTAGAAGTATCAGGTACTGATTTTTAGAATATAAACAGTTAGCCAATCTTATGATAATTGCCTGTGATTAATTCTTCATTGTGGTTTTCAGAAAACCTGCGCAAATTGCCACCTAGTCTTTTGTAACTCTTGTATAAAGACAGGCATTGGAGGGACGAGAAAATGCAACAAGTGTATAGTGTTATCACAATGGCCTCTCGACATCTCCGAGGTTGGAGCCTTGCGTGTCAAGGACCTGAGACAGTACCTCCAGTCACAGCATATCAACAGTACAACATGTACAGGTTCGTTTTTGTGCCTCTTTCTGCTTTCTGAAGAGTATGGAGTAAGGATTCCTGTTTTATTTTTGTTTTGCTTATTTGTTCGTTCTTTCTTCTTTTTTTGGAAGATCTTTACAAGTATGTGATATTTTGAGTGTATGATGTAGCCCATGTTATCTGTTAATTTATTTTTATTATTATTTTATGTTTTATTTGTGGTTGACTATATTACTTTTCAAATGCCTTGACAGAGAAGCGAGAGCTGATTGAGCTGGTGACACGCCACATTTGCAGTCAGCGGCGGATGTCGGATAGTGCGAGACAAAATACAGGTGCTGGGAGTGGGAGCATTTTCTCGAGCACAGCGCGACCGCCAGTGTTTAAGCCTCCCTCTTCCAATATTACGAGGGATGATGGCATTAGGGTGCGGCCAAGCAGCACACTAAACAGTGACAGTTCGGGCAGCATACGAGTTAGGCCATTGGACAGCATAAGAGTGAGGCCAAGTCGCTCGCTCTCTCCCGATTCTAGTGAATATGATCCAGAGATGGATTTGGGCATCAGGGTCTTTGCGTCGGACAGCCAGGCGGGCCAGCAGGAACGTGTGAGCAGCACATCACCCATCAGCATGGAGGGCTGTTCAGAGAGCACAGAGGACAAGTGCTCGCAGTGCCCCAGCGAAGACTGTACAGCCTCCTCTTGTAGCTTAGACTCCTGTCCCAACAGAGCATCTAGTCAACCCATGCCGTGCACCTTGCATAATGATTCCTCAGGGCAAGACAGCATTGAGGACGTAAGTGCCACAAATGACCTGCAGTTACCAGACTCCACCAGCATGCTGGAGGAGATCCCAGGAACAGGTGAAATTGCTCAAGATAACACTACCACGGCGCAGGAGGCAGAGGTTTCGGAGCAAGGAGTCGACACGTCAGAGGCACCAGCAGTGGAGACTCCACTCGAAGCCACTGCACCTCCATTAGAGGATGACACACCCATTACCACCACCATGTCCTCTTCGTCAGCCTCCTCGTCCACTCCTTCCACGGCTTCATCCCCAGAGCCTTCGAAACCTGTAAGCGTGCGTATTTTTGCTCTTGTTTTTACATTGTATGGGGCTAATTATGCTTTGTACATAGGTGTGTCTACTTGTACACCATCCTTAGTAACAAGAAAGCCATTCATGATTAAGACTTCATAGGCCTAAAATAATCTTTCTATGGCAGGGGAACTTCATATGGTTGAATCCCTTGAAATGCTCCATTACACAATGAGACTCCTCTCGGGGTAAAGAAAGAAGCCAGTAAAAATCATGTAAAGGACCGATAGCAAGACCTCCTACCAGTGCTGACACAGCAGAGAATAGTGGATTATTAATGAACAGATACCCTTGGTAACAGAGCTTTGTTGACGTAAAGTTAGCTGAAGTCAAGTAGATAACACTGCAGTTTCAATAGCAGGGTCATTTGGTGGGAATTTCTATTCTTTTCTTTTTTTTATTTTTTATTAATGTTTTTTTTTATGGAAATACCAGTCAAGATTGTAATAATACTTTCCCAGAATATAAGATAAAAGTCAGTTGTTGCTGTAGTCATTGAAAGAAATTTCATGTTGAAGTAGTTGTTGTGGATATAGAATTTGCTTCCAGATCAGAGAAGAATCATAAAAGGTTAGTTAGGAAATGTTACTTTTTTCACTTGGCCTAATCTAGTAACATCTAAGAAGCCTCATAGCAGTATTGCCACCGGTGCCATATAGCACACTGGTGGGGGGAGCAACAGGTGTTTCTCATGTTAACCCGTAAAGGATGCGTTATTTTAAATTCTGATGCAGATTTAGCATGTCAGTGCAATGTGTAATCTCTATCTGCTCTAATGCAATTCAGATTAATTCATCGACACTGGTAGGAATGTATACGTGCCAGTCTCCTGGGATTCTAGTTTATTAATTATGGTTGTACATAAATGGCTTCAAAAGTGCTTCGTCACCAAGGAATCAGGTCCTAGGCCTCCCTGTTCTCACCTGTTTACTTGTTCTATGAATTTTTAGAAAAAAGGTTTTATTTTTATTAGTTGTAGTATTGTTAATAATATAATGATGATAATGACAATTATAATTGTAACCTTAATAATGATAACGATTGTCATAGATTTCTTTCTGAAAATTCAAGAGTGATATAAACTGGCAGTCAGGTAGGACTAGTAATTGACTCTGTGTTGTAAACAAAAATGATGGAAAATTTCAGTGGACATGGCATTTACCTGTGTCATTGGCTTAAAAAAAAGGGTGTATCTCCTCAATCTACAAATCAAAATCTACATTGTGAAAGTTGAAAACATCACAAACATTTTCCAGCATCCTGTGGAAGTTTTTGAGGTTTCCATTTCATCTTACTCATGTTTGCTCTGGGTGGAGGATGCGCTTAGGGGCCAGAGGGGATTGTGATATTGTGATTATTGATATATTTTAACTATATATATATATATATATATATATATATATATATATATATATATATATATATATATATATATATATATATATATTTTTTTTTTTTTTTTTTTTTTTTTTTTTTTTTTTTTTTTTTTTTTTTTTTTTTTTTATAAAGTTTCACTATTACTAAAAAGAATAAAGAATCAAGGTCAAAGTTGAGCTTCATGTATTGTTATTTGCATCTTTGAATATGAATTATACACCCAGTTGCCAAAACACACTGAAGATAAGAAGGAACCTACTACATAATTGCAAAGAAGAAGCTAAGACAAATTCCTTCTGACCTGCCCAGTTCCCCAACAAAGTGGTCGCGCTGGCTGACCTGAAGTCGGAGGAGGACATCCGTCGTCTGAGCGTCCGCCAGTGCAAAGAACTTCTGGCCCTGCACCGGGTCAACTACTCAGGGATCACGGAGAAGTCGGAGCTGCTGAACAAGATCGACATGCTCTGGAAGGATTACCAGAATGCACGGCAAGGTGAGAGGGGAAGGCCCTGGCTCTCTGGGTTTTGGACCTTTCTTTCTTTCCTTCTTTCTTTCCTTCTTTCTTTCTTTCTTTCTTTCTTCTTTCTTTCTTTTTTTCTTTCTTTCTCTCTTTCTTTCTTTCTTTCTTTCTTCTTTCTTTCTTTTTTTCTTTCTTTCTCTCTTTCTTTCTTTCTTTCTTTCTTTCTTTCTTTCTTCTTTCTTCTTTCTTTTTTTTTTCTCTCTCTTTCTTTCTTTCCTTTCTTTTCTTTCTTTTCTTTCTTCTTTCCCTTCTTCCTTTCTTTTCTTTCTTCCTTCCCTTCTTCCTTTCTTTCCTTTCTTCCTTCCCTTCTTCCTTTCTTTTCTTTCTTCCTTCCCTTCTTCCTTTCTTTCCTTTCTTCCTTCCCTCCTTCCCTCCTTCCCTCCTTCCTTCTTTCCTGTTTTTTGGTATTCAGATCAGGCCAAACTTTTTGTGTTCTGGTTCAGCCAAAGTCAAAGAAATAAACATGATGGATTAACAGTATACAATGAGATCCTTAATAGTTATTTTGCGATTGAATAACCAAGATGTATCACGTTGCAATCTTCTCATTTCATCCTCATTTGCTCATTCTTTTCTTGTGAAAAATTTTATGCATCATTATCTTGCAAATTACAAGGCAGTTACTGCTTAATGTATTCATGTATTACATTATCAAGTACATTATATAAAAGATAAAATTGGTTGCTTTCTAATGGCAAGTCACAGATATATAATCCTAAGATAAAACAGCCACAATAAGAACTTATAGTATATCTGTTTACACACATTTCTACTTTTGTCATTTTTCTCAGAATGATGATTTCTTCTTGCAAATAAATGTCTTTATTTAAGAGCCATTTCCGAACATAATCCAACTTTGCTTTCCAGATGTTGAGGGTTTGCCTGAGGAACTGCTGTGTAAGATCTGCATGGATAGCACGATAGACTGTGTCTTTTTAGAGTGCGGACACATGATTGCCTGTACACAGTGTGGGAAGCAGATGGCGGAGTGTCCAGTCTGCCGACAGTATGTGGTGCGCGTTGTGCGTACTTTCCGAGCTTAAGGCAACCGGCATTTATTAGCAAATCCACTCTTTGGGGCCTTAGTTGATAGATAAGTGGAGTTTTTATGTTTTTTTTTTTTTTAGATCCAATAGAATTAAAACTTCAATTAATTAAGAATTTCTGGATAAGAATTATTTTTATTTCTCTTTTTATTTTATTTATTTATTATTATTTTTTTTTACTTTTCTTTTCTTTTTACTTTTTTTCTTTACCCCATTTACTAGAACTTCCACCAGGATGTTTGACTTTAATAGAATTTCTGAGTGTGCAGGTATCACTCTGTGCTGGCAAAGACATACCTGAATTAGGTCTAGGAAACTTTATTCCATGTACAACTTTATTTGCATATACAGTATACATTGAAGCATAAGATTTACATTGAATGTTTAACAGGTCATTTATTTATTATAGGGATATAAGCAGAGGCTAAAGCATTTATTACAATTGTTTTTATGTACTTGTAGATACAGTGAAATGCATTCACAAATAAAAGTCAATACATTGAGTGCTTGTTAAAGGTATGGTTACATTTTTCATTAAAATCAGTGAAAATGGAGTTATTACGAATACTTGGACTCTGATGAAGCAAGCCATCTTTAGTTAAGCTCTTTTGTATTAACAAACTTTTAGGAGATATTGGAAATTAGAGAAGGGAATGGGTGATGAAACTAGCAGAAAAAGAGTCACAATGGCGAGGAAAGAATAATAATGGTAATAAAGATACTACTGCTGAGGAAAACAGAAATAAGGGTAATCTTAACAAAATGATGATAACATTGATCATAGTAGCAGCAGATGAACAAATTCACATATAAAGGAAGTTATTACTAAATTTATATCCAGCCAAAAGTTAAGTAATATATATAATATTTAAGATTAAAGTTAAAGGTTAATGTAGTCTGTAATTTTAACTTAACAGCTTATGTCAGTCTTGGTCGCCAGATCCATAAGCTTGGTTTTGTGGATGAAAGTTGAAATATGACTGCAATTTATTGATTGATTTTCATGTCCAGTGTAACTGCAACTTTGACATGATGTAATGGTTCAAGTTAAGAAGTTGTGTTGCAGGTATAGTGATTGGTAAGAATAGTTTTTTTCTTCTTCTTCCTTACTTTCACAATTTTCATTCATCTCTCTCGCTGTTCTCTCTCTCTCTCCTTGTTTTCTTGTCTCTAATTCTTCAGGAAGTAGTTTCCTTTTGTTTATTTTTTTCTGTCCAATTTGTTGTAGAGAAGTTATTGTGAACTCTTGTAAAAATTTAAACACGAGTCACTTTCCAAGTTTTTTGCTAGTGTTGTAAAAGTATTTCAGGTGGTGAAAAAGGAAGTTATTTGCTATTAAGACTCGTAAAATATTTCTCTCCATCCTCTAAATATAGTAAATCCCTCGATTCATAAAGATTTCACTCTATACTCATATATCTTTCTCTTTTTCCAAACTAAAACTATTGACTCATCCAAGGTCCATGTTGGATTCCAGCCTCGTCCGAGATGAAAGTAAGAGCAACTAGTTTTTACGACACTAAGAAGTCTTGATGCTCACGTTTTTTCAGCCTTTGTTTCTTGTGGTTCTCAAAAAGAAATTTCATAGAGATAATACTCTTTTCAACTACACTATACAGTCAATACTCATTTGCCATTGTTAGTGTCTTCTAGAGGTAGGTATGAAATTGCCCAAAACCACTACATCATATTCTCTTTATGGTTGAGACATAAGAGGTGTGGGAATTGGTGTGATCCTTTATTTTCCTTCTTTCTTCCTCTCCCTTTTATTCTCCCCTCTTCCTTTTTTCTCTTTATTTTCTTTCTTCCTTCTCCCTTTCATTTTCCTTCTTCTTTTCTCTTCTTCTGTTTTCTCTTATGAGGGAGTCCCATACTTCCAGTGGTCGGGCAATAAGGCCATTGGTTCCCTCCGTGAAAGTCCCAACTCTAGTCTTTCCCTTTTTGTGTCTTCTGAGGTTTGGATCCTTATGTTCTTGGTTGTTTTGGCATAATATTTGTATTGGGTTTGGGAATGCTGGGGAAAGGGGTTGGGGGATCATATACAAACACAGGATATTGCCAAAAGTTTTTTTTTTATATTGTTGTTGGTTATTGATTGATTGGAAGAAGGAATGTGTAAGAGAAAAGAATGAATATATTGAGAAAAAACTTGATTCCCTGTATATTTTTTACTATTACTATTACTGTTACATACTAACTGTATCTTTACCGGTGCTTGATGTTCAACAGCTTCCAGTAAATAGGAAAGCCAAAGCATATGGAGCTTGTAAATTTTTGTGAGTCCTGGTGATTCTAAAGGCTTGTACTATCCTATTTTACTACATTTGGTCAGAGCTTAGTCGGCTTCCTAGTACAAGAGCAACCACAACGGAGGCATAGAGTCTGATCTTTGAAGTGCATGACTTTGGTGCAGGGAGGCAGTGGCACTCCAGTTTGCCTTTGCACATTGTTTATTATTATGTTTGTGGTCTTATTATTTGTATTATGTTTATGGTCTTATTATTTTATTTTTTTTATGTCATTGGTGGTAATTATTATTATAATATTAATAACTATTCAGAATCTATCTGTAAATGTATATCACAAGCAAGTGCAGTCTGCTTTATGTTAATTATTATAAGTCAAGTAGTTTTTAAAATCTGGCTTGTTATAGTTGCTCTTATCTGCTTGTTCTGAAGAAGAAAAAAACAAGTATGAAGGAGAAAAAAGTATTATATTAAGCACAATTTATACATAATGATGTATTTACATGTCCATGTTTTCATCTATAGTTGAGTATAAGCAAATTCCGAAGTCGCAAAAAAATTCACAACAGAGATTACAGGAATTCTTCTTTTAGTGACCTTGTGAGAAATGGATTAACTTTGAAAAAATAACTGATGGCTACAGATGCCTCTTCTCCGTTTTTCATATTTTGCAAATGTTAAGTGAGATGGTAAGATCTGGAATAAGAAAGAGGCCAGATTTCTAAGTGTGCTTGTGAAAAAATGTACAGGTTAAGATTAGTACAAGTATTCAGTGTTGATGAAGATTTTTTTTTTTTTTTTCCTTTCTTTCTTTAATTTTCTTTTCTTTCTTTTCCTTTTTTTTCTCTCTTCTTTTCTTTTCTCTTTTCCTTTTTTCTCTCTCTTTTTTTCTTTTCTTTTCTTTTCCTTTTTTTTCTTTTCTTTGCTTTTTTCTTTCTAACTTAGAGATTGATCATGACTGTGTTTCCTTCTCTATGTTTGTTATATGAAATACACAAGGTTAACCAGGAAATAACCGATATAATAAAACCGGGAGAAAGGCATCCAAAGCATTATGGTCATTACTTTTCTGTTCTGTTCTACTGGATATATTGTGCAATGATTATTGCTTTGTCTTGTATGTGGTACATTTATAACTCTGTGGGTGTTAGTCAAGTATTATGTGTTGTGATATTTTATCCCAAAGACTGAAGTGCACCTCAGTGTTGTTAAAGGAGGGACGGGGATTTTGTTCAAATTGCTTCGCCACTTTATGCCGTGGATACGAGAGGAGAAATTGGATTCTGATGATGACTTTGAATGTTCTCGCCGTTGAAGTTTTTTTATGGGCAGAGCTCCGGGTGCTTTGTTCGGAAGAGAGGCTAAGAAAATGTTAAACAGTGACTTTATCATTGTGTCATAGTGTGTTGGTATATTATAGTGTATTGTTATTATTATTATATATATTTTTCATAGGTATTGATTATATATTATGGAAGTAATTGTTCATGGATTTATAATATCCTCTGCTTGCATGGACTCAGCACTTTAGTTGATTAACATGTATTTGTCACAGTTGTATCAGAAAGAAAAATGTAATAGTTTATATGTCATATTGCATTATGTACAAATCTCTTTTTATTTTTACCTTATAACTTGAATGTGAAGGTAATTTTCCCGATGCTATTGAAGCTGTGATTATTGTAAACCTAACTTGTGTATTGCATTTATATACTAACAACAAAAGTGTTTTTGTTGTCTGTTACAAGCAACCATTCTGTTAGATTTATTATTGAAATGATTTTTTATCATTATTATGATCATTATTTATTGCTATTATTATTATATATTATTATTATTAATAATAATGATATTATTAATGGTAATATTATCATTATTATTAGTATTATTATTGTTATTGATTAATAATAATAATAGTAATAATAATAATTATTATTATTATTATTATTATTATTATTATTATCAATTGATAATGATAATAATAATAATTATTATTATTATTAGTTATTATTGTTATTAATTATTATTATTATTATTATTATTATTATTATTATTAATTATTATTTTTTTATTATTGTCATTATGAACAGTCAGCATGATTTCATTTAGTTTTTCTTTCCCAATGATTGTGAATGACATGTTTTATTCAGTATAGGAATCTGCATGTGCCAGCCAGTCATTAAGAGTTATGTCCCACGTGTGACAGGATGGCAGCAGTTGAATGAAGACATTCTTACAGTCACAGGAAATTGCAAGACTGATAGGTGTTTGTATTGCAAATGAAAAAAGGTTTAGGATAGATTAATGTCCGTTCCTGGGATTTGACTTGTGATCAAGCCCAGTATTATAAGTATCGTGAATATTAAGGTTTGTTAGAGACAGATGGCCATTTTTTTCGCATGGTAAGAAAAGAAAGCTTTTTGAACTTTTACTCTTTTGTTCATGATTATATGAAATCATTGTCATGTAATAAAGGGTAACTTTGGATGATATTTGGATAACAACAGGAACTGATGTTGAGTGTTACATTGTAGACCAAATGAACTGAATGTGATTGGTTAAGAGTATTTTATAATGATTTACCCTTTTGTCAGTATTTCAGAGGTTAAATTCAACTTTTTTTTTTTTTATCCTTTTGCTGAGTGTCCCGGTATTATGGGATTTTATACTTTGAAGAATATTAAATATCAGATCCAAATGCAAGTGTTCATTCTTCCTCCCTTAGAAAGAATAATGAATGAATGAAATGAATAACACTGATGAAATTGAAAAGGGAAGAACACTTCTATGGCTGTATTTCAGGCTACTCTGTTTACATAACAAAGACCATAGAGAACTGAATTGCTCCAATTGAATTTATTATAGCCTATGAGAGTTGCAATGAATAGAATGTCTACAGCTACAAAATTACTTATTAGTTCAGTCATATAGAAATTTTATGCCTTCATAAAAAAAATACCTTTTATTTTTTTTATATGCTAATGGTACAATAGAAGATTTTGATGAATCATGTTTAAGTTTAGTATACTGTATTATTTTTTAAAAATGAGATTATGCTTATTGCATTTTTTTTTCTTTATGCTTAAAATATGCATGATCCTTAAAACTTCAAGAATAAAAGACTTATGTATTGTATATTACATAAAATACTGAAGAGTCAAGAAACTGATTACATGACACTTTGCATGACAGAAAAGGATACAACATTAGTTTTATTTCTTTTCCTCTCTGTTTTCTTGACGTCCATTTTTATCCTCCTATATTCACTAAACATTTGCTAATGGAATTTATGTACAGGAAATGTATTACCAAACTTGTATCACGTTAAAGTCCCTCCACTGGTATTTAGAAATAATGACTACTGATTACAGCTATTGTAATAGATATATGTACAGGTATCTTCTTGTAATTTCAGTATAGTCTCCTTATAGAACTTGTAGACTCCTAGTGTTCTTTACCTTGTTTGGTATGTTTAACATTGTCAAAATTTTATGCTTTGTCTTTCAGCTGTTGATAATTGAAAACTTTTTGATATATAGGTGTCAAGCCATGTAGATGCCTTTGATATTTATTCTTATATAAACAAGTACAGTATTTGTTATTATAGTTTTTCACATTTTACTTATATAAGTTAAGATTTAAGTCATTAAGTATATTATTGGTAGTATGAACAGGCTACATGTAAAGTTTACATCATTCAGACCATATATACCTAGCCTGATTATTTTTACCAAGTATTAGCGGTGAGAAGGTTAATGAATCACACTCCTGTTCATAGGATCGCCATTTTGCAGTTTGTAAAGTTATGTTACATAGTGGCGGTTTCATGGGAAGAATGTTTTAGATTCCGTATAATTTTCTTATAAATAAATTTCCATGCTCTATATTCCATATTTCTTTAACACAAATAAATTTTCAAGTCATGACTTTGTCTGTGTTGCAGTTATTTTGAATAAATTATGTCCATTCATTCCTCTTGAAAACATTTTACTTCTATCCCAGTGTACCTTCTTTTAACAGCCTTATTTGTGGTTAAAAAAAAATTATATTTCTGTTCTGAAAAAACTTCTGAATTACTTTTGTAATGGTAATCATACTTTTCACTCTTATCCCCCCACACAAAATATGCAAACTATTTGAATCTGATAAGGAATTATATATTACTTTCATATGGACTAAAAGGTCTTTGAGTGATAAGTTGAATTAGTATAATTTTTATATGATGTTCATTTCCACTCAAAACATTTCCATAAAAAGCATAAATAATTTATAGTAAATTAGTAGCATGAATAATGTTACTCAATTATTGATGTTTCCAATGCAACAAACAAAGTGCATTACAATCCCTGCAAGGTAAACTGAAGGAATGCTATTGGGTTAATGGTTAATGATTAATGGTTTAGAGCAAAATAAATGTGCTAGACATCTAAGGTCATGTAGCACTAATGGAAGGTACAGTATAGGGTAGTGAAGGGTGGTTGAGATGGTAGTTAGTTGCTATGTCAAGTATCTAGTTAATATTGAAAAGGTTAAGGATGGGTAAAGGAGTTGATGAGTGAATGGATTAAGGTAGGGTTAGGAAAGGGGAGTTATATCAAGTGAAGGATATGTATGTGTCTGAGGAAGGAGAAAAGGTTGGAGCAGAAACAGTAGCGTAGCGAGGGGGGGCAAGGGGGGGCAGTCGCCCCCCCAATGCTCAGAGAGTTGGTCTCTGAGAAAAGTGCAAATCTGCAATAAAATTTGTAGGGGGCCCCCCTACAAATTTTATTGCACAAATGGCATAGCTCATTATAAGCCATCTAAAAAGAGCCGTTTTACAGCATTCTAAGGGGCGTGGTCTTAAATTTTCCCGGGGGAAGATTCCCGGACCCCCTGCTATTTTTCTTACCTGTTTGCCCCCCCAATCTTCCCGCTCTGGCTACGCCACTGAGCAGAAAGTGAGATTCTGTAAGGATGTCAAGGCATGGCCGGGATAACTGAATGTGTGGAACTGCAAGAGTGACATTACACTGGAACATAGGGGCAGATCAGAAAGGAGTTTTCTGATGAATAAGTATAGATGAGCCATGGAGTGTGAAAAAAAGAGACAAAATGGTAGTTGGGGATTGGTACAGGAGGATGTGTAAAAAAAAAAGTCTTTTGGAGAGCTATACTTTAGTTGATCTATGAGGTATAACGGTTACAGTGCGTGTTGGAGAATTTGAAGGGGAAGGAGCTAGGGGGTGAGATACGGAATAAGAGGGGGAGGGTGGTGTATCAGAAGGGGCATCAGGAAGTGGAGGATATGGGGAAGGGCATAGTTGTGACATAAGGGATTCATGTGTGTATTCAGGAGGGAGTGGAAGGGATAGAGGGAGTAGAGGGAAGGTTAAAGTAGGTGGAGCTGGGGGGGGCAATAGGCTGTGTTAGGAGGGAGTAGGAGGAAGGGGTGTAGGGGGAATATGAGTAGGAGGAAGTCGACAGTCACTTCAAGTGTGGAAGGGGCGGGAGTTATGGAATTTGAGGGTGGATGAGGGGTTTCAGTGTCAGTTTGGGACTCGGGCAGATAGTTTTGAATATCTTCAAGAGTTTCTGTAAAGGTATTAGTTGAGGAGATTTGTGAGACAGAGGTTTTCTTATGAGGGGGGAAGAGGAGACTAGTGTCTGAGGAGTAGAGGAGGTGAGTGTGGTAGAAGGGGTGGAACATTTAGTCTGTCTGCTGCGGGTAGTGCGGGGAGGTAAAAAGGAAGGTGTTGGGGCTGTAGTAGAGATTGGAGTGTCTGGATTTAGGATGGCAAAAGAATTTGACTGGGGAAGGTAGGAGGTAGAAGTGGGGAAGTAAGATGTAGGAGGGATAGGTATAGGGGAGGGTGTAGGAACTTGTAAGGTAGGGGGAGTGGCAGAGTGAGGGACATTACTAGACTAGGGAGTAAGAGAAAAACCTCGTCGATGTGCTTCCTGTCTGGCTTCACGTAGAGTGAGTCCAAGTCTGAATCTGAGAGTTGCTACCTCAGATTCTGATATATAGGTGGGGCAGCCACTATAAAATACATTATGGGGGTCGCCATAGTTGGCACATATGCGTGACTATGCAGAGTTTGATCGAGTATGATCAGGTTGGGCACATAGAGGGCATCTGGCTGTGGAACGGCAAAGTTTGGCATGATGTCCTAAATGCCAACAAATTTGGCGCTGACGGGGAGGAGGTTGATATAGTCGGACAGGGAGGGATTCTCCACCAATGTTAATATTAAAGGGAAAGTCTATGGAAAGTAATTTGCAATGTTATTGGGATTCTGGGAGAAATGGAGTAGAACTATACTGATATCAAATCATAGTCCGTGAGACAGGCAAGTAAGACTTCTCCACAATCTGACCAATTTTTATTATAGATACGACAGTTTGCTGGGGAGATAGAAACAGTTCTGGTGCAAGTACTGAGAGTTGGATGAGGTTCTGCAGGAATGGGGTTACTAGAGAGATCAGTTAGAGTTGATAATGCTATAGCTTGATTTTCAGATGTTACTGTGATGAGACAGAAACGATCGGGTCGGCTACAGAGACTTTGCCTACTTGTTTATGGAGACATTGCTGGAAGAGAAGGGTGTTGTCAGAGTACGGAGCTGTGGGAGGCATCACGAAAAATCGGTCCCATTTGGCTGGGCAAAATAGAGTATTTAAGATATTTGTAGAGATGGGGGTAATAGAAGGATGGGGGCGTGTGGAAGAGGGAGTAGTGTTGAGGGAGGTAGTATTATGGAGAGGTGGACAATAAGGTTGTAAAGTAGTAATAAGGGACAATGAGGTAGTTGATGAAAAAGGTTGTGGGGGTAGAGTTGATGAAAGTTGAGCATGTTGGGAGAGTAGAAATGTCTCCTGGGGGTTGAGTGTTGACTTGGGTGGATAATGTACTAGAAGGCATTGAGGAGGGGGTAGCAGTTGCAGTGTTCAGAGTTGCGGTCAAAGGAGAGGCTGGGGTTGAGGAAATGGGCGAGTTTGAATTGGTGGGGCTATTTGATGAAGGGGCAAGCCTCATTGCCCCTAATAAGAGTGTAAAGCTTTCACTACTGGCCATGGTAGGCCTCGAGTATTTTGGGGAAACGTCCCCCTCTCAGGGTCCCCTTGAGGGGTAAGGGCTGTGAGTAGGAGGAGGATGGATATCAGCAGTCACTTTGAGTATGGAGGGGGCCGGAGTTGTGGAATTTGAAATGCTATTGGGTCAAATTCCTTTATCAAATCTGGCTGCTTTTAATCCAGTGCAAACAGGCATGGTATGTACATACATGCCACGTCCATTGTGAGTTTAGTTGATAAATTATTTTTACACTTAGATGGCTACATTTGTACTTGATCACCAATGAGCCAATTATGAGTATTGCCTGTCTCGCTTGTTTACCCTTTTCCTTGATTTATGAAAATATTTTATGTATCTTATTTTGCTGTTACTAACGTTTATAACATTATAGTAATTATAATGTCTATAATAAAATGACATCAATATTCAAAGCATTAGTAAAGCACTAGCAGAGCCATCCATGACAAACATTTCACAAAAAAAAAAAAAAAAAATTAATGAGCACGTCATTATTATGATATATAATTATTTGACACTAGTACTAACTAGACTGTAGCTCATTTTTTATTTTCATACTATATCAAGCCAAACTCTGGTTATTCAACTTCTCAGCAACCTTATTCAGTGCGTTGTGGAAAATACATGATTTAGGATGAATAATACCCAATACAAAAATCCTCACATTTATGTATGGAAGAGATATCATAAAACCAGAGCAGTCAAAATCCTCCGGCTTGGCTGCATCAGTTCACATTTTGTATACAATAAATCAGTCACCGAAGTACTACTTGTATTATGGCAATTAACTTTACAATTACCTCATTCCCACAGTGCCACAAGTCCAACCACTCAGTGTAAAGAGCAAACATGCTTCCTGTTATTTCCATATTTTCTCCTTTTTTTTTAAATGATTACTGATTAATATACTCTAAAGCACCATGTAATGATAAAACAGTATCCCAGATGAAAAACATGAAGCAACAAACTAAATGACATTCACACATTGGAACCTGAATTCTGGAATGCCACTTGAGGGCCAATGATGTGTGTGTATATATATATATGTATAGCAAGACTGTATCACAGATATGGACTGCCTAAAGAGATACATTATGTGGAATAAAGAGAGCAAAGAACTGTACAGGAAAATAAGCATCCAAAAGAAAGCACTAAACCACATACAGGTGCAATTATTATTATTATTATTTTTTAGAATGATAAGTTTCATTTTTTTTTCAGACGAGTCGTTTCTACAAAATACAGGAGGCTTATAAATTACAAAGCCTACACTTAACATCAACTCCAATAATTTTTTCTAGAAACAATAAAACACATTTTTACACGTTAGCATTTCCTCAACGATGTATAAAGTCTCCACTTAACTGCATTGTCCTTATGACACTGTCTTGCTTCGCACTCTTTACTGGCAATGTTCTGTGCCTTAAGTTACATACACTGATTATGTAATAAGATTATTCGAGTTTACTAATTTTAACATATGACACTTTGTTAAGATTACTCTGAAGTGAAATTTAATAATTGGATACAGCTGTTGCTATCTTATATTGCACATGGAAGTATAACTTCATTGCTTAGATTGCTAGATTGTATTTTAAGAAGCAATGTCATGGAATGTGACTTCTAAAAAAAATATTGTTTAAGCTTTTCTTTTCATTCACATAAAAGCTCCACAATGAGGTATTTTCACATAATCCTCAAAAGTTTAACGTTTTTTTTCTGGACATAAATGGATTATCTTATACACATATAATATAAATATATTATATATAATATAATATAATATACATATATAATATATAATGTATGATGTATAAACAAATAAATAAATAAATAAGTATATGTATTCATCTATTTATTTATCTATTCAAATGTCTGCTTGTCACATTATAACTCTATC